GGGTCAGAGCCCCCCATTGCCCACCCTCCACCCCCCCTCCTGGCGTTGCTGTGGCTCACAGCCCCCCAGTGACCCCCTCTTCCTCCCCCCACCCCCAGCGGACTCGACGGGCACCCATTCCCTGTACACCACCTACCAGGACTACGAGATCATGTTCCACGTCTCCACCATGCTGCCCTACACCCCCAACAACCGCCAGCAGGTAAGGCCTGGCAGTCCTCCAACCGCAGTCCTCCAACCGCAGTCCTCCAACCCCAGTCCTCCAACCGCAGTCCTCCAACTGCAGTCCTCCAACCGCAGTCCTCCAACCCCAGTCCTCCACCCGTGGTCCTCCAACAGCGTTCCTCCTCCTCCATGCCCTCCCGCGATTGTCTGTCTGTCCGTCTGTAGTCCTCCAACCGCAGTCCTCCAACTGCATTCCTCCTCCCCCATCTGCCCTGTCGTTGTCTGTCTGTCTGCCTGTTTGTCCTCCAACCGCAGTTCTCCTCCTCCTCCATCTCCCCCCGCAGTTGTCTGCCTGCCTGTCAGTCCTCCACCCGTGGTCCTCCAACAGCGCTCCTCCTCCCTCCTCCTCCCCTACCCCCCATGGCTGTCTGTCCATCTGTCCATCTGCAAGTCCTCCAGCAGCGGTCCTCCTTCCTCCCCCTTCCTCTTCCTTCCTCCTTCCTCCTCCCTCCTTCCTCCTTCCTCCTTTCTCCTTTCTTCTCCTTTCTTCTTCCTTTTTCCTTCCTCTTTCCTTCCTTCCTCCTCCTTTTCTTCTTCTTCCTTCTCCTTCCTTCTTCCTCCTTTCTCCTCCATTCCTTTTTCCTTTTTCCTTACTTCTCCTCCCTCCTCCCTCCTTTCTCCTTCCTTCCTCCTTCCTTCCTACTTTCTTCTCCCTCCTCCCTCCTCCTCCTCCCCCCACCCCCCGTCCGTCCGTCCGCGCGCGCAGCCGTCCGTTTGTCCTGCAGCTGCTGCGGAAGCGGCACATCGGGAACGACATCGTCACCATCGTGTTCCAGGAGCCGGGCGCGCTGCCCTTCACCCCGCGCGGCGTCCGCTCGCACTTCCAGCACGTCTTCATCGTGGTGCGGGCGCACGAGCCGTGCACCGACGGCGTCAGCTACAGGTGGGGGCGCGGGGGGGGCACCCGGGGGTCCCTTCTGCCACCTTCTGGTGATTTGGGGTCGTTTCTGATGCCCCTAGGGGTGAATTTTGGGGTCCCTTCTGCCACCTTCTGGTGATTTGGGGTCGTTTCTGGTGATTTGGGGTCATTTCTGCTCATTTGGGGTTGTTTCTGGTGATTTGGGGTCGTTTCTGATGCCCCTAGGGGTGAATTTTGGGGTCCCTTCTGCCACCTTCTGGTGATTTGGGGTCGTTTCTGGTGATTTGGGGTCGTTTCTGCTCATTTGGGGGATTTCTGATGTCCATAGGGGTGAATTTTGGGGTCCCTTCTGCCACCTGGGGTCAATGCACGTCTCTGTAGTGGGGAATTTGGGGTCGTTTCTGGTGATTTGGGGTCATTTCTGCTCATTTGGGGGATTTCTGATGTCCATAGGGGTGAATTTTGGGGTGCCTTCTGCCACCTGGGGTCAATGCACGTCTCTGTAGTGGGGAATTTGGGGTCGTTTCTGGTGATTTGGGGTCATTTCTGGTGATTTGGGGTCGTTTCTGCTCATTTGGGGTCCATAGGGGTGAATTTTGGGGTCATTTCTGCCACCTGGGGTCACTGCACGTCTCTGTAGTGGGGAATTTTGGGGTCATTTCTGGTGATTTGGGGTCATTTCTGATGTCCATACGGGTCAATATTGGGGTCATTTCTGGTGATTTGGGGTCATTTCTGCTCATTTGTGGTCGTTTCTGGTGATTTGGGGTCATTTCTGGTGATTTGGGGTCGTTTCTGATGTCCATAGGAGTCAATATTGGGGTTATTTCTGGTGATTTGGGGTCATTTCTGCTCATTTGGGGTCATTTCTGGTGATT